TTCATTTTCAGTTGTTTCAATCTACTTTACAATTACTTGCAAATGGAAGATAGGTCTATTCAGATCTATAAAGTTCTCAAGTACTTCATACATGTTTATGAGACTGCCTTCAAAATGGCTTCCAGTATAAATAATACAGAAACTGTAGATATTCCAGTTTAAATACTACAGAAACTATCTCAGAAGTTCAAAATAATAGTGTTGTTCTGTCTAGAAGTGATTAATGACAAAGAAAATAAGAGTACAATTCTCCTCAGGCTCCCTTTGAGAGATTAGACCCTATTGTTCCAAATGAAACTGATAACCTGTAGAGATTTTGAACAAGTCAGATTTCCAAATACCTCCTTACATAACTCTGTGCCTTTAACTGCTCCTGATACCTCTTTTTCGTATACTGCTCCATTACCTCATTTTAACCTATGTTTTCAGGAATAAATTCTGCCAGAACTGGCAACAGTTAGAAGGTCTAGTTCTGGTACGGCTGAACAGAAATTGTAATCATTATTTGGAGATGGCCATCCCAATATATTGATTTAAACTCAGTGTCACTTTCATGTAAATTTGTTACCCTTTGTACCTCCTCTTGTATTTAATGCCTTCTTTCAATTTTCTACAAAGCCTACAGCCCACTGGGGGCTAAAATTAAATGAAAAACAACTTCCAAAGTGTATGTAATTCTCCCTGGATCTCCTCTAGACTACCAAATGAATTAGGATTTGATTTGTCGAGGCACTGGTTCTCACAATCAAAAACTCCAGAAAGCTTATGTGAAATGAAAAAATACTCCTTTTTGCAGTCTGAATCCTGCATAATTCCTCAAACATACAGAGAAAGTATATATATAGAGAGAGAACATGAATTTTCCAGATATAAGCCCTGTGATTGTGCTTTGTTTTACAAAGGAATACCATTGACAATGAAAAACAGCAACGTCATGAAGGTTCTCATTATAAACCTTAATGGTTTATAAAGCTTCATAAAGCAGTCTCACCTGTGTAAAGTGAACTGTAAGGCTGATCTTTACAACTAAAAAGCAAAAGGTTACAAAGAAATTAGTGGGTGGGTGGTACCTCCACAGTAAGTACCTAGTTATTCCTTCATAGTCTAATACTTCTCAAAGTGTGTACTTAAAGCAAGAAAGACAATAAAATGTAACCTCTTACTCTCTTTTGAGAATGAAAGATTGAGATCAAAACACATGATACAGATGGTAGTCATGTCACAACATACTTAAAATAGGTACTGCTGCATCAATAAGGTAATTGAAAAAATTTTTGCAGATTGGATTAAACTGTACATGATGCTATAGCAATAAAATCATGAGCGATACTGAATGATTAGATAATTCATCACCCAAAAGAATATTTGTTGGAAAGTACAGCCATGAACAAGGTAATTTTTTAAAAACTGGCAGTCAAGAAAGATTAACCCTATAAAGTTTCTTATAAAAATAAGAAAGAAAAAGTCCCTACTGACTAATTAATGGAAATAATGCTCATTTCATCAGCACAGTTCAGGGATAAGAAAGAATGCACTCTAAAAACCTATGCTGCACAAAAAATAAAGGTGTGAGGGTATGGCATACTACCCAGATGCTATACTGTTTTGTTGTTGTTGTCATTGTTTCTTCCTGCTAAAGACACAACCCTACCAGGTACTGGGTTCTTGGTGAGTTTTGAATCTGCTCTTAGTGAACTGGAACAAGTTAGATAAAGTTGTTTATATGCTGTAAATCTACTTTCCCCGAGTCGAAAATGTGTTAGCTAATGGGTTGTTTATGAGTTGCAAATCTGTTCAGTGAGGTGAAAATTTGTCAGATAATGGGTTGTTTATGAAATCTAAATCAATATTCAGTGAGTCGGAACTATGTTAGATAATAGCTTGCGTATGGGTTGTAAATCTGTTTTCAGTGAACTGGAAACATGTTAGATAATGGGTTGTTTCTGGGTAGTAAATCTGTTCTCAGTGAACTAAAAACATGTTAGATAATGGGTTGCTCGTGAGTTGTAAATCTGTTTTGAGTGAACCTGTTTAACAAAGGGCTCTTTATATATCTTAACTCTGGTTTTAGTGTGCAGAAAAGTTCACAAATGTGTTAGATTTGAGTGACATATCTGATTCTAGAGAGGTAGAAATCCATCTGCTAACAGATTCTTTATGAGTAGATCTACATTCAGTGAACTAAAAACCTGGGACAATAGTATCTTGTATATAACGTACTCTATTTTCTCTATTTCAGTCAAATATTGAGTAAAGGTTTGCATGATTTGTAGACTTCAACTTAATGAGGTAGGAAGGGGTTGTAGTATTGTTACAACCACTCTAGATATTTCCAATGTGGTTTTGAATCTCTTCCTAATAATTAAAACTTGCAACAGATGTGCAATAATTATGGAGGAAAAAGATAGCAAAACGAATGTCAAAAATGTTATTTTCTAATCCTGCAATGAAACACTATTACTAAAATCTCTCAGCTGGATTCCATTTAATAATTTCTGTGTAATCACATATAGTTAACATGGCAGTCAGAAAACTTCAGAATTTTACATCTTCCAGTGAATGGAAACACTGGTGTCAACCACTCTTACCACTACTTATTCCTTTACAGGTATCACTGTTGGTCAAATACTTCTACTATATCAAGCAGCCTCATGAACTGCCTCCTGTTTACAGTGAAAGAAAATCATGAGAAAACTGTTGAAAGTAAGGATATGTAGTACAAAAATACCAGTTTAAAATGAATGACTCAACATACAGAAAAAGGGTTTAAAACACATGAAGGAGAACAATAAACTAACACATACTGGGATGTGATATCCCTTCTCTCTTGCAATGAAAAAACTGAAGCATTTCTAGAAAACAAACACCATAGTTCACAAATACATCCCAAGCATATATAGTAAATTTATTTGCAAGGATACAAAATTTCATCTGGCATTCAATTATTCAGAGTGCTGACTCTGCTAATGAAAAATGAAATCAGGCATATTAAGATTACAAGCAGAAACACTTCCTAACACTTTCTTAAAACTGTAATTCTCCACTATGCTTTATAGAATGTCTTTAGCTCTTGTACAACAACCTATTATAACGTAATGAGGAATACTTCATTGTTCTTTTAAAAACCAATTTGTATCTGCATTGGTGCTTCATCAGTATTTCTTTCTCCTATTTGTCTGTTTGAAATGTAAAAATTTCCAGTAGCTTTTCATGTAACACTTTTAATCTCTTCCTGTAACACCAGAGTTAAAATAGTGCTTGTACGTCACCTCTGTGCATTTCTGTGAGCTTTTTGTGTTTCTTGTATGGCTAATCTCAACTCTGAATCCCTAGGTTTTAATGCTTTCCTGGGAGTAATGAGAAGATCGTGACAACATTGCTTAGTTTCTCTTTACCATATCTTAATACAGATATTAATAATTCCTCTAAAATATGCACACATAAAAACTCGAAGTAAAAAAAGGGTCGTGTATCGTATTTGAAAAATGCTTTTCCATTCATTAGTGTCAACAGTTTTCATGACCACAAACACCCTCCTAGAACCACAGTGCGGAGGTATATAATAATACAATTATCCAATGTCAGTTGTAGAATAATATTTCATCAGTTTGCAGCTGTTTAACTTCTTTCTTTTCTAAAAATGTTTCCATTAACATGCAACAGCAAAGAGTGATATGTTTCACATCAAATATACTTCCACTTTTCCTAATGTCTTTCTTTAGTCTCGTTATTAAACTGTTTGACTGAAACAAACAGCTAAATGTAGCAACATAACATAGGCAATGTAACATACAACATCAGAAATTCAGATGAGAATTATCCACAACAAAAGGGGCAAAAACTATACAACATTTCAGACATTTTGGAAAACAGTTACTGAAATGAACTGCAGCCGCCAAAAAAACCAGACAGTACTCAAAAATGACAAGGAAAAGAATAAAGATAGTAAATATATGCATCTGATAACTGACTACAGACAAATGAGGTTTACTGCATATTTTAGAACAATTAAATTGGAACAGAAATGAAAGACAGCAAAAGTTTCCAGAATTCAAATTTCTGTAGCACAGATTTTTGGATGTTTAGCATTAAGGATATATTTCTTGCACACTCGCATTCAGATTTTCCTTGAATTCTAATTTTACCATGGTAAACCATGATAACTTTTTACATATACCTTGCATTAAAGTTATGTTAGACTTTGTTGACAAAGATTTCAGTGCCAGATCCTCAGAAGATTTTATCAATGCCTCAGCTGTAAAACATGATTTGTGTCTTGTCTTGAAGACTTTGGTGATGATACTGGTGGCAATTCCTTGACAGCAGTGCCAAGCTTCAAGTATTCAGAGGCTAAAAAAATGTCAAGTTTCATACAGCTCCTCCTACTAGCATGGTGAATGAAGGCATAGTAAACATGCAAAGCTACTGAGTAAGCATCTACTAAAACCAATCAATTTTGTAGGTTGGAATTTGCCTCTTTATCACTGAGAACAAGCCACTTGGGCTCACTACAAGAAGGGTGATTCAACTGGATACACTGGACAGGGTCCTAATATGTTATACTGAGGAACAGTTATGTCAGCAGAGGTATCTCACAGTAGTTCACTCCCACTAACTAGAAAATAAACAACCAATAGGTTTGTGGGATAAGGGGACTTCTTTCATTTCTAAGCATTGCACAATGAGGTTTTGTTTCAACAGTAAAGCTCCTTAAAATCACAGTAATACAAATTCAGCACTGTCATTATCACGTCTGTTTTTTAGTAATATGCTTCATGCATTGTAAGATTGTTACAAAAGAAATTTTTTGAACTTGTAATTTTAAAGATAAGGTTTAAAGGTATTTTATAGGGATAAAATACAACAATGGTTATATACTTAAGTATGGTAAAACTTTATCGACATTTTTTACTCTATGAAGTCAAGCAATTACCAACTTTTCACCTAATAAAGTTTATTGAGTTAAAATATGTATTTGGGGAAATAATTTTCTTACTTACTTTCAATTAGCACTTTTCTGCCAGCCCAGTTGTCTTTAATAACTTGTATATTACCAAAGTGTGCATCACTGAAGAATATGCGATTTGTACCTCTTCCTTTCAGACTGTAGTCAAAAGCAAGAGCTATCACGTTTTTGAAGTACTCTGGATTTTCATATGGCCTTACTGGTGAATTTAAGTTGGTTTCATCTGAAAGATGTATACTTTTCAATATTGTCCTTCCCGAGTACAACAGGTAACCTTCATGTCTCAGGCAAGAAATTCCATCCTCTGCAAGATAGCCATGTGCACAAGCACATGTTCTCCGTGCATTTCCCCGATAAAGGCAAAGTTGATGACATCCACCATTATTCTTGGCACAAACATTAGTACCTATAAAAAAAAGAAATCTAATCTATCTCTTATAATATAACACTTACCTAACTTAAAATGTAGTTTTATGTATTCTAAGAATTCTTCCCTTAAAACTGTTTCTACAATATTCACAAGTAAAACAAAGGCCAAAATAGTAAAGAATGTAACTTTAAACACAACCTAAAGACAGTTTTAAAGAATACAATTAATGAGCAAATATAATTAACGTCCTTTCCAATTCACAAGAATATATATTTTATTAATAGAAAATTAGAAAAATGGGTTATTCCTCCATAATCAGCTGAAGACTTAGAGACTGTTTCAAGTGCTTTGAAAAAAATTTTTTTTTTAAAACACCTGTTACTGGTAATAAGTCAAATTTAGATACCATCAGAATACAGTACTGTTCTTAGAAAATCTATATCAAAATTAAAACATACTTATTGACAGGTACAAAACTATGTCAGTTCAGTTCCCTCTTTTTAATAAAGGCATTTCCTACCATTTTGTTCTAATTTTCTTCAAACCCTGACTTTAAAAACTTACGCCCTGACAAATGCATACCATTAAGAAATCATTGTCAAATTAGTAACTTCAGTGACTTAAACTATACTTGTTGCAAGCAATATTTAAAATTACAGTAATTGTCAATAATTATGAGCTATTTTCCTTTGTCTTTTTTAGGAGTATGTATGAATTACTATTATAGTTATTTTAGAAAATTTAGTTTCTGTTTCTGACAGCACTTTCCATATAACAACTCAGCTCTTTCAATATAGTAATTTTCCCATTTCTGAAAGTTTTTCGCATAGTGAAAAAGAAGAAAAAAAACTTTTTAAATAGACTGTTTTCAGTTAAAAAAACATAATAATTGCCAGGGAATATGTAGTGTCTGAAAGTACTGTTGATAGTATTTTCTAACGGCTACATTTCAAGTTGAAGATACTTTTAAGAAAAAATAATGGGAGATGAGAGCTAACTTGCTCTTAAAATTAGAAATGTTGAATTTTGTGTTCCTAGACAAAATTACATGAGATATACTCCTCTATAGTTACGTAAAAACATTTGGAGATTTAGCTGTATTGATTTTTACATTTGGTTTGTTTTAAAGATTCTTTTAAAGTTTTATTAGGCTAGAAAAGTTAATATCTGTTTGGAAGGATGAGAGGTTGAGAAGAGAAAGAAAAATACACGAAAAAGATCATCAAGCTTCTAAAATCTCTCTCTGAAAACTTCAATGCCTCCATGGTTCGCCACCTGTAGATATCTTTAAAAATGGCGAGTTTTGAAACCAGTGTAGTTAGGTCACGTCCTTGCACACATCTAAAATAGTACTGACGGATAGGAATCTGCTTGCGAATAGCACTGCAGGACTGACTCATCGGAAAGGGTAAAACAGGTGTTTGAAAAAAATCATTAATCACAATCAGCACAGGTTGTTTTTTTGTTTGGGCTTCTTTTTTGTTGTTGTTTTTTGTTTTAATAATAGAAAGTCAGGAAACTAGCTAATCACTTTTTTTTTTTTAAACAGTGTTCACATTTCAAGTTCAACAAACTTAAAAAAATATATATAATAGTGTAATATAGAAAAACATTCCAAAAACATTTTTCACCTGTTTTTTCCCTTTTGTCCTTCTGGCTCACTGATATCCCCTCCCAAAGACATTAATCATTTGTACCCTAGTAAAATTTGAAAAACGATTAAAAAAATCATTCAGTTATGTTTTCCAACTAACATCAAAATATTTTTAGCCTCAGTAACTGTTTATCCTATTCCTAATGTGATCAAGTCTTTAAAGCTATCAATAAAAATCATTACATGTAAAGAAGCACTGTTTTATCCCATTGTTCTATTTTCCTAATTCTATAACAAAAAGCCCTTCCAAGCAAGCAGACATTAACTATTTCTAGCCTAGTTAAAATAAACAATAAATTTTTGTGTGGCTTTTATTTTTATCCACAAAATATGATGCCCACAATACTATGAAATTACATGCAGAACTTCTTAGTAAAATTAATATGCATATGTTTGCAAAGTAATTTTTTTCAAAACTATTTAAAATTCCCTTAAAAAATATGAAAAGACATGTTTTTCTTAATGATTGTTAAATATGTTTTCTTTCAAAAATGCAGATTTATTTTATATGTCATATTTAATGCAGTTATTTAGGAAAGATGTATACAAAAGAAACAAGATCTTCAGGTATGTAACGCTGTGAACAAAGCAACTTTTGGGTGCTACCAACACCAGAGATATATTTGTATTAAAAAGTTTTTGTATTACAGTAAATTTATTTTTTTTTTTTTTGTACATATTTATAGAAGTTTTGTCTGGATGGCCTGGTAGCAGTTTGTTGTGAGAAAATCATCATCATTTTTGGTAGACTTCTAACCATCTTTGCTCACTGAAACAAGTTTTTCAAGGTCTTTTCAAAACCAGAATTTTAGGAGGAAAAAGACAGCTAAAAGCAAGATTATTCTTAGTCAAGTAGTAGAAAATAAAATTTAACCATCAATACCATAAATCTCAGAGAGTACATAACTTTTGTCTCTTGAATTTGCTAAACAAATTGAATATAAAGGAAACCTGATTATTTACAAGGTCTCTTCCCACACAAAAAAACCTAGGACTCAAACCCAAGTAATTTCAGGAAATAAATATTTGAGACACACAGGCTGGGAATTTCTAGCTGTGAAAAAAAATTCTGGTTCGCTTTCCAATGGAAATCTGAGACTGCCTGAGATTACTGCTCTTTAAAGCACAGTTCAAGGTCCCCTTCATTCCTAAGACTGTTTTTTTGCTTTTTTTAAAACCAAAACCCATCAAGCTTGGAATGATAGGATATGTTTTGGTTTTAGATTCTCTCCTCAGAACACTCAGAAGAATTTTAGTAGAATTTGTACTATATGATTTCTTTGGTACATTAATATTAGCTTAAAAAAAATACTTCAAGAATAAAAAGTGGAGATAAAATCAGTGATTACTTAACTTTTGTTATGCTTTAATATACATAAAAAGTAGCAGGTGATATTAAAACAATTAATAGCATCCTTAAGAACAGCCAACCTTTCTCTCGTGCTCTATTAAAGACTTTCACTTCCTTCAGGTTTATTCCAAGGCCAGTCCTCATGGTCACAGCATCCGTGGCCTCATTCTTGTGGCCTCTTCTAATAGAGCCATTTGCATGTGCTCTGCCAAAAAAGTTGAAGATGTCTCATCAACAATCCTCAGCTAATTCACACTAAACAAACGACTGAAAGGCAGTGGAGTGCTCACCTAACAGAAGGTGAAGAAACCTGTTCTTATCTATGACACATATATGCTATAGCTTTCAGCATCAGAAACGCCCTTTCTTTGGAAATTGAATAGGTTTCTGCGATCCATTCTGTGACCTTGCTAAAGAATGGCTAATCCTACAGAGGTGAAGAACCTGGCACCGAAACAACATTTTGAAACTCAAATACTTATGAAAAATAAATTACCTGTCAGACCAGTAGATGTAAGCTCCAAACACCGCAACTGAAAACATATCCACATTGCTCCCTGACAGCACAATCTCCCGATTCCCTCCACTCTCAAGGTCAATTCTTTCTATCTTGTCGGTACGAGCATCACACCAATATAATTTATTTTCCTAAAGATTAATTTTAAAGGAAACATCAACAGTCTTGTCCAAGTATTTAATTAAGTGTTATTAAGATTACATCAAAGTGGAAGACTAGCTGGCTTTAATGAACATTACATATACTGTACATTTTAACATATACTGGAAGATAGAGGAACTAACCTCATAGTCGATGGAAATCCCATTAGGCCATGCAATCCCCAGGCTCACAAGCACAACCTTCTCAGACCCATCTAAGTGTGCCCTGCCTATGCAAGGAGTCTGTCCCCACTCTGTCCAAAATAAATACCTAAAATATTGTAGAAATTACCAATTAAAATTTAGCATCAGAATTGAAAATATGTAATACTGTACTTCGATTGCAAACAAAAGGCACCATTACCATTAAATAGGTATTTTAAAAATATGATAAGGCTCATGTCTCTAAATAATCTTAAGAGATTAAATGTATCATAATACTTGTTTCATAGAACACTTTAAGAGATTTTTTACAAACGATATATATGAAGTAATTCTTAAAACTGTATTCGATCAATCAATATGCAAATTTTATTCCTTAAATAATTAAGCTTTGTGCTTGGAAAAATAAAAGCAAATTAGAAAAAATATTACTGGAACAGAAGCTCTCACATCTAATTACTAACAAATGTTGTGATAATACAAGAGATGTATGTCTAACTTTCAAATATTTTAAACATGAAGCAGTGAGAAACACTATGGGAAATAGTAGAGCAAAGGGATTTTATTTGGGAAGAAAATATTTTTCCGATTCTCTAATGCTCAGGGGAAGAATCTGCATCTTACTTGTCTAATTTTATGTTACTGTATACTTACTGGCACAGTAACATCACTATTTCGGGATAAGATGCTAGGTCAAACTTCTGCCCTCCTACTTCTCAATCTGTTGCTTCAAGTATAACAAAATGAGCCTAGTTAATCTACACAGAGCTCCTCCTTTACTGAAGAGTAACCTATGGAATAGCTTTAAGTAAATGTCTATGTGCCTACAAATATATATATGTATGCACACATAATTGTGTTAAATAGATTGTAAACACACACACATAAAAATATATATATTCTGAGCAAGAAATCTCTTTCTAGGATAATACAATTGAGGTCTAGCATATTACTAATCACCTGAAGAGAAGCATTTTTATAGCAAATATTCACAAGAACACACTAAAATATTTTTTAGTAATATGCTGTACACAAAGTGAACAGAACATAAAAAACCATTCTCCATTGTTTTTCTCTGTGTGGAATGTATGTATCAGTCTGTTTTTAAAGATTACAAAAGTCTTTTGTGCGTTACTAGCCAATTCTGCCCCTCAGTCTGGTGCTATTATACCAATCTGTTGTTAAATAGCTATATTTGATTGGATGGTTGCAGATATGTGAAATAAAGAGGGATAAAAACGGGACAGGGGAGAATAAATGTGGATCCTATAATTAGCTCATCAAATTTAGCTTCTGAAACAATGTTCACCTTACTTTGGCTCTAATTGTAGGGCTTTCTGGCTATAATAAACAAATTTGTTCTCATACTTCTTGACATAATAGTAATATGAATACTAACTCTAAAACTTGTATTAAATTAGGAAATTGAACTGCTACATTAGCTAAATTAAAAATACATTTTAGAACCTCTAAACAGAAGTGAACTTGCTTTCAGGCATCTAGTCAGAGGTACTTTCTTAACACAGGACATCAACTAAATGTTGACTACTGAAAGACAGGCATTCAATACACTTGAATTAAACAGTCCGTGCTCTTTCCTTAGACCAGTTACTTTGAGGGGAAAAAATAAAAAATAAAACCCATAATTAGCAGGTTAAATGAATCTAGAATCCTCTAAAGAAAATCCTGAATAGCTGCCAAAAACGTAAGGCAAGTTACTGAATACGCTTTTAGAGCATTAATGATTATAAATAGATTGATACATAAACTTACATAAACTATTAACTAGTATAGAAAAACTCGATCTTCCCGTATATTACCAAAAGGTAGTACCATCTAAAATACTTGCTTCCTGGACTTTTGTAGGTAGCAAAATGCCACCCACACATTTGATGTATGTACTGCAATGCTAGAATAACTACAACTCAACTTACTTTGGAACCATCCCATATATCATTTACATAGCTGACATGGAGATGCAAGTGGTGGAAATTTGCTGCTGGCCTACAATCTTCAAAAAAACTTATTAGGAAAAAATTAAATTAGAGTCTAAACTCCTCCCCCAACCCCCCACCCGAAAGCCTAAACACAAATGAAATTCTCAAAATGTTTTTGAAGGACGTATCTTCAAAGTCTAAGAATTATTTCAGTATGAGATTAATTCCACATTTCAATCATAATTCTGAGTTTGATCAGAAAACTATTATTTAATTGGAAAAAAAAAAAGTCAAGTGTATGTTATTTGAGTAAGTATACTTGATGAGGGACAAATACACTCCTTTGTAGGGCTACACATTCTTAAATTTTTCCCTTAGTAACAACAATGTTACCAACCAGCTGAATGCTGGCTGCTTCATATCTTGGTATAACTGGCAGATTCAATGAGATCTAATAACTGCTATTTTCCTCTCTATTCTTATAGCTGTCAACTCAAGCTTCAAGAGAAATGAGGAATGTGAAGTCAAGGCAAGGGGAGGGAAGAATACCTTTGAAAATTTTGCCTCATAAAGGGAATTTTGAGATATGACAATAACTTTGTCTCCTGAAGAAACTTTGATTGGAGACATCTCAAGATATCACTTTTTGGCAAGATAATAAAAAAGAGAGATGAAGCTTACCTACCTTCACAGAAGATACACTGTTCTACCAGACATGCAAAACAATTATTAATCCAAAAACTAGCTATAAAACTCAACAGGATCAAAACTTCTAAGGAATGTTTCACAACTGAACTCATTTGTACATTTAACATTTCCCTTCTCTGCTGTTTTTTGTGTCAAGTGCAATAATTTAAACTCCTCCAAATTACATTTTACCCACATTTTATTAATATCTGTTTTTTGGTGGCATTACACTATTCTAAGACCTATGAAGATGTTTCAGTGGCATCTCTAAATATCCATTAACTTAAAACTAGGAACTGTTTCTTTCCAAAGAATCTTGTTAATATTGTTGGCTATTATTTCATTTGCTTATATGCACACTTATCATTTCAGTAAAATACAGCCATGAACTGTTGAGGTAGAAAGTGTCATATGAAAATACTGTCATTAAAATAAAAAAATCCACGCTTTACTTAAAAAGCAAATTTTCTATCAATAGTAGTATTAAATATTAATCTGTCAAGGGTTCTGCATTTACTCTTCCCTACAGCAACTGTTAAATGCTGGATCTCAGCTACAACCCATCTTCCCTCTCCAAATACTGCAGAAGAGTTGATTACACTTTTTACCATTTCTAGTTGAAAATAATTTATTTTATTTCTATAATTCATATTATTTTAATATCTAAGTATTCTCCAGAGAAACTGTATCTGCTGCACTTAGCCCTCAAACTTCATGGGGACTTTTCTTTTGATTTAAGGGCTGAAAACCTATCTCTGTAGTGTGTGAAGAAATACAGTTCATATGTTTCAAGGAAAATTACACTGTAAATTAACTATTGTTTTGAAGAAGTTTGGTCTACCCTTCTGGTGAGAAGAATTTTATCAGGTTTCTGTGTACTTACCTTCAAAGTTTTTTGGTTTTTAAATTTTTTTCTAACATTCTGGTACATTAAAGACAAAAATATAATAATTAATTCAGCCAGATCCTGACTAGGATCTAGAGAAGATCCTACTCTGAACAACAGCATTAATCCTAAACTGTTAGCAGATACTGCCAAGCAACCAGCAGTGCTATATGAACACAGCCATAATGATTTGTGGCAAAAGCTATTACGTTATGCAGAAAATAAAACCAGTTATTGCTTTCACCTTCATTCTTAAGTACTTTAAGTTGCAATGCTCTAGTCTGCAAAACACACAGATCACTATGTCTAAATTCTCATAGAAGAAATCACGGCAAAGATCCAAACAGCATTTTGCATCACTGGTATCAACGTGGCCTCAGTGAGAAGTCAGAATTTTTCATTACTATGGCTGCAAACTCCTCTGAGTACAGAGACTGCTTTCCTGAAAATAGGGAGATACTGATTGGATTGAATCTGGAGAAAACCAGCTACAGTGTCATCTCTGGCTTTGGGGGCAGCTAAGTGCTCAAACACTTCTTTAAGATTTTGATACGCACTGATTAGCGCTTCCATTTTAGCAAGGTAAGTGTAGCCATTAAATTCACTGAGTCTTATTTATAAGCCTTTTCCTCAGAAAGTACATTTCATAATCCCATGAAAAAAAAAGATGGGAATTCTTTGCAGAATTTACTGCTTCTGTTTTAGTTGTAGCTCAGCTAACAATAGTTTCGGAGCTGGAAGGGGACAGAACGTTCTCTATTTTTGTTAATGCTGCGTGTAGTGCCTACTTTCAACAAACAGTTGGATGAATACAGATGTCACTTTTGACAACCCTGACTCTCTTACTCACAGACTTCATCTCATATTACTTTCAGCTACCCTGGGCAATCTCCTTGGTTGTTGTAGTCAGATGTCGCATGATATTAGAATTTATAACCAGCAAGGATTACATCCTTCTACAGTTTCATTGTGACATTGAGGTCTTTGTTAGCTAATGTGACTTCCTTGGATTTGCTGGAAACTTAAGAACAGATTTAAGCATGCTTCCAAGCAATGTCTAAACTTCAGTTGAAATTATTGTCTGAGAAAATGAAAAACGTTTTGCAAAGAAAGTACAGTATGTCGTGTATACAAAGACGAAGGAAAAAACTCAGCATACAGTAAGAATAACATTTCCTTCCACCTGTGCTTAGTCACAGTACAACAGTTTCCAATACAATCCTTTTGGGTTTTATTAAATGCTTATCTATTGGAACAAAGGCTTTGACTTACTTATCTAAGAGCTTCAGTGCTAGCATGCAAACTTTAAAAGAAATGCAAGTAGCCATGGTCATGTTACCCTTTTTCTGGATGTACCGCAATAGACCTTGGCTGGTCCAAACCCTGGGATATAATTACATATCGGAATGAGCCGTTGAGCCTGGCAACTTCAATTAAGTTGAAGCCATGATCCGTCCAATATATGTTACCTAGGAAAAATATCTTGAAGTTACTGGAAAAAGAAAAGACTACTTGAAAAGTGTTTAAACCTTAAGTGCATAAGTTCGGACCAGAAACTGATTGCTGTATTTTAACTTATATGTACATAACATCTGTAATTTCTAGTCTTATTCAGCCTTCTGTTCTAAAGTATAAACTTTTATTCATGGTTCTCATCACTGAGATGGTCCATCCAAGAAAAAGTGCCCAAGATAATAATTTTTCTATCTGTGGTAAGACTGTGGAAACCAGTGGTGGTATCTTCAAAGAAAAATATCTAGACATTTGGAACACTAGAAATTAGAGCTGAAAGCAAACTGAGTTATTTAGCCTTGAACTGAAGATGCAATAGCATACTGTCAGAAACCACGACAAGTCCTGAAGCAGGTTAAGGCCTACCTGCTATCCAGTCCACTGCAATGCCTTCAACTCTTCCCAAACCATTTGTAATAATGTCTTCTTTCCATGTTTGGTCTCGTTTAGATCTGCTAATTTTGTTGAAACCCATGTCTGTCCAATAGATTGTATCATTTCCTATAAAATACATGGCAAAGATTCTTAGATTAATTCAGTTACTTCAGTGCAAGTATCTACATCAGTAACTGTAAAAACTGCCAGTTATAACTTTATTAATACATCTCAGAGTAAACAGAAGAATGGTATCAAAATTATCATCTTTAATTTCTCATTATTTTTCCTTTTTTAAAGTTTTATTTAAAATCATTAAATAGAATTCTAGGTTTTCTACTGCTTGTTTAGTACTGCAAGTACTGCACATAGAACACAATAGGGCCACGACAACAGATGGAAGCTACTACCCCTGTTAAAAATCACAATAACTACGTTGTTCTTTTTTTCCTAATGGGATAAATGTTTGAAAGACATATTGTTTTGTTTATTAATCACCATTCCATTTAGGAGTCTGAAAACTACAGGGTAAAACTGCCTATACAGTCTTTTCCTTCAGTAATCATACAGATTGAATTTTATCAGTATAAAAAATTTAACTAGAAAAAAAAGTGTGATATTTGAGAGTGATATACTGAGAAAAGAATAAAAAATTGACCATATCCACAATTTATCTTCTATTTTAAATGTACTGATCAGCTTTCAGTATGAGTCTTTTTTGGTGTTTTAAGGAATTTCAGCTGTCTTCACTGCCATTCTGCTGCAGTTGGCTGTCCACGAGGTGGAAGAGAGGGACCACTATGTAGACTTACAGTACAAACCTATTTTCACTGATCACTTAAACTTGCCAGCCAGGCTGAAAATTTGGAGTGGTCAAATATATATATATATAAGAGAAAAACAAAACTTACACAGATAACAGTCAATTCCAAGACCAAACCAGTCTGGCATGCTCAAGAACCCTAGCAAAACCATCAGTAAAACAAATGACAAATTCTGACTTCAAGTATCCCAAACATATAGTTTGATTATCACATGTGGCAGTCATGTATTTTGCTATTTTTCATAGTAAGTATGAAAATTAAACAGAGCTTAATACTAGCAGCATATACATTCAATAAGATATTGATCTATGATTTCGTGCAAATGGAGGCCAAATACCCTTCAGTGGAATATGAGATATACAGAATTACTACAAAGTCTGATCTGAAAATACATATTTAATAAAAAAAAATCTGCCTATTACGTTTACCAACTGGATAAGACATTCTACAAGTTAATTTCATGTATTTCATATTCCATTTTAATTCATCTCCATAAAAATAAACCACTTTGTATTCCTACTATGACTATTTAAGTCAGCCACGCGAGCAAGAATCCACATAACAGTTTAGAAACTGTTAGAACACAGAGATCTCTACAGTTTCACTTCCATGACTAAATCTCAATGTATATAGCACAACTGACTTTGTAGTGCTGTTTTCTTCAAATAGTGTTTTTCAGCAATCCAAAGATTCAAACAACAGAATTACCTGCACATGATTACAGATAATCACACGTTAAAGAGATAAAATGAATTTTTAAAATCATATTTCTCTTTAAAATATATCATTACATACAACCATTAAAAGTCTATCTAAATTACTAGTTTACTTTCTGTAAAATGCAGTATTTTATGACACTTCTTTGTTTTTTCCTTAATACAGAATATATCTGACCTGAATATAAAGAGGTAGAAAGCAACTAATGGTTATGTACATGTACAAAAAAGGATGGTGAAGACCTAGAAAATCATGCAGATCTGCAGATGTAACTTCAGAGATATAAAAATACTTCCCAATCATAAAGGAAAACACATTTTCAAGATAAATATTACAAGGAATACTCTTGTAACATCAGTCAAATTGGATTTTTATTTAGTTGGCAGTGTTCCTGTAAAATGACCAGAATTTTTAAGCAGAATGTATCGGTTCTACAAACAAAAATTATGTAAGTAATTTTGGGACTGGAGCTAACCAGGAAAACCCAAGTAACGTGCTGTGTTGGAGGAAGTTCACAAAGCACATACATTTCACTGCTTCTAGAAAGTATCCTTAAAAATAAATGCTAATAGCTTGAATATGCAAAGATAACAATACCCAACCATACACTGATATTAAATCTTAGCTAACACATAATTTCTTAAAATTCTCATATTTTACAGTTCTACACCTTACTTGCCTATATTTTGTATCCTGAATTAAATCTTCATTAAACATAGCTGTAAAATGCATTGGCTATGACATTTTGATATAATTGTTCAAAGATGCTCGGGGGAGGGGGGAAGAAAAAAAAATATTTTCCCTGAAGTACTGATAAAGGTTATTTTTTCACAGCAATGCAAAACTTTTCAGTCACTATGTTCCATACATTACACTGGAGAATACTTTCTGATTTTTCAGGCTCTTCATGACAGCTTAAGAAAAGAAAAATAACTATACTCTTTTGCTACACAATGTGAAATTATCCAAGGAATTAGTTGCCACCAAACTAACAAAGATCCCTGTGAGTTTCAAATATGAATAACCGTATAGCATTTGCTGAGTTTCAGTTTGCACTTGGATACAGATGGTATGATCCAAATGACAAATTCCTCTCATTTTATGGAGACTGCAATTTTTATCATAGAATCATAGAACAGTTTGGTCAGAAGAGCTCTTTAAAGATCATCTAGTTCCAACCCCCCTGTCACAGGCAGGGACACCTTCCACCAGACCAGGTTGCTCAAAGCCCCATCCAACCTGGCCTTGAACACTTCCAGGGATGGGGTAGCCACAGTTTCTCTGGGCAACCTGTGCCAAGCCTGCCTCACCACCCTCAACATGAAGAATTTCTCCCTTATATCTCATCTAAATCTTCCCTCTTCCAGTTTAAATCCATTGCCCCTTGTCCTATTACTGCATGCCCTTGTAAAAAGTTCCTCCTCAGCTTTCTTGTAGGCCTCTTTTAGGTACTGGAAGGCCACTCGAAGGTGTCCCCAGAGCCTTCTCTTCTCCAGGCTGACCAACCCCAACTCTCTGTCTGTCTTCACAGGAGAGGTGCTCCAGCCCTCAGATCATCTTTGTGGCCTCCTCTGGACCCGCTCCCACAGGTCCATGTCCTTCTGGTGTTGGGGGCCCCAGAGCTGAAGACAGTACTGCAGGGGGGGTCTCACCAGAGCGGAATAGAGGGGCCCCATCCGTTGACCTGCTGGTCATGCTGCTTGTGATGCAGCCCAGGGTACAGTTGGCTTTCTGGGTTGCCAGCGGACATTGCTGGGTCATGTTGAGCTTCTTGTCAACCAACACCCCCAAGTCTTTCTCCCTCAGGGCTGCTCTCAACCCATTCTCTGCCCAGCATGTATCTGTGCTTGGGATTGTCCCGACCCAGGTGCAGGACCTCACACTTGGCCTTGCTGAGCTTCATGAGGTTCACACAGGCCCACCTCTCAAGCCTGTCAAGGTCCCTCTGGATGGCATCCCTTCCCTCCTTATGGGTTCCTTTCTGTTAAAAATCAAAGTTCTCCATATCTCTACAAAACATGGAGTAACAGTCTCAGTAGGACTCAACAACTGAAGACCCATGCCATGCAGAACAAGCTAAGAGGAATTCAGATTAAGCAATTGGCCTCTATTTTGTTGTGGTCTGTTCACTTTTAAAAGCAGATGACATTGTGTCAATGTTGTCTCTGTCAGGTAGCAGTATTAATATCATAATTGCACAAACCTGCTTTATTTTCCCAATTACTCTGAAAAATAACAGACATGGAGAAAAAAATGCCCTCCAGTATCTGGTTCCTGAAGTCAGTTCTGGCTTCAGACAAATGGAAAGAAAGCCTATACTCAATTTGGAGCCTTCAGTGTTTATTTACCTATTCTATATAGCTGGAATCTGAAGAGAAGAGAACTACTACCTGGAAATGACAGTCTTCGCAAAATGTGAAACAACTGTCTGCAACTGTACACACCTTCTACAAACCTTTTGTTAAGTGGTGAGCATTAGAAACCACGGCCTCACACTGACTCTTACAGTCTACAGGCAGCTTATCAGTAAACATTGAAAATTAATTCCATTTAATGCATTTTGCCAATAAAATCCCGTAACTCAAAATTCAACATACAAAGTATTTGCTGATTATTACTCCTTTTGTCAGGTCTTGTCATCTTAGTCTGTAAACGTTCAAAATGCTTATTTCAACAGAGAGTAAAATCTATTCTCCTCCCACCTATACACGCACCACAGATATAAATGCTTGGAGGTACAATGATAGTACAAGTAAGAACAGGATCACTTTCTTGGAGACATAGTTCTACCCATCAATTCAGAGAGCATAATTCTGCAAATAAACATGATATTCTCATTTCTTTAATACTTAAAATGCCCTTAATGTCTCGAATACAGTAGTGTTTCTCTGCCATGTAGATTATCCTCCAATTAGACCAAGCTTAAGTACAGAGTACCTCCCACTATGTGAAATAATAATTTAAGCAAATGCAAACCAGATGCTGAGATAAAAAGTATGGTGAGCTTCCTGGAACAATGTCAAGAGGGAAAAACAATGGGCATTCGCCTGACATACTGTGAAGAAGTCTTCAGCAGCAGGGAAGAATCAATGCCATTATCTTTAATAATACAGAAATGAAAGGCTAATAGGATCACACTTAGTTTTATAAACCTATGTCATAAATAACACTGGCAACCCCACTCTCCAATGACCTCTAAAAAAGTCCAAAGGTCAAAACTACTCTTAGAGGTCTTTAATTAGAATTTAGAAGTATCAAGACATAGAAAAAAGGTGCATTTATCTTCCAGCTCTTTCATGTCTGCAAAAAATATTGCAGTAAGTCTTTTAACTATGATACGACATGCTACTAGCATATGTTAATATATTTTAGCCTATGTATTTGCAATACTTAAATATTACTGACAGTAGATCAGAATTTGGGAATGTTCCACAATTGAGAATGAAATGCAAGCAATTGTCACTAACTGGAAGAAAAAAAAAAAAAAAAAAAAGATGAAATCTGAAGGGACCTCCACTTGCCTTCTGAATCATGTTTGATGAACTAAGGTTTTAGGAACAAATTCAGAAAATTCAAGGTAAGGTATCAAAATGAGGAAGACAATTGCTTTTTATGATGAAATGCAGTTGAAAGCTGTACTGTAACTTTTTGTAACACAGTATCCCCTTGTGATTTCACTGCTATAGAAGATTTACATTCATGTTTAGCAATGCATTTGTCACTGTCAATCATATTCATGTTCCCTATGCTGCAACTGATTATCACCCAAGTTGGTGAACCTCATTCAATTTCATCCTTCTTCAAATATCATTTTTCCAAAAAGCTAAAAATTAGTACATGCATCTTATTCTTCAAAAATACTAATTTGATGTTCACTAGTGAAGTCCAAACAAAGCTCTCTAAAGTAGGAGTTAGCATAGCCTGTAAGTAGACTATGCTAAAAAAAAAAATAAATCTCAAAAATCAAAGAAAAAGCAAGATGCAAAATCCCCAGTAAGATCTCAGTATCAGTATTTTAGAACGAAAAGGTCAAATTTCAGATTTCTGTATTACATATCATAATTTTGTAAAGCTTGCAAGACTTAAGAATTTTTTTTTTAATTTTTTTTTTTTTTTTAAGGTAAGTATACTATAATAAAACATACAATCCCTGGAAAACCGAACTGCATTGTCTTAGTACTTTCTGTCACGAACATGCGCAGCTACCACTTCTCTATCATCTTGTATCTTTGCAGAAGTAGATTAAATCAGCTGTATCATAGTCTTTCACACCTAAGGTTTGTGTATAAACGCATTGGCTTTTAAGTGATTTTTATGTCTCAGTAGACTGCAACTGAATTATACCTACCCTACAACAAAAGCTCTGAACATCAGCTGTCACTGATTTGAAAGTAAAATATACAAGTATGAGGGCACTGTAAAATGTTGACTGAACCTGGAATTTTGATAAGAAGAGTAGAAGTATAAGAGCATCAGTGAAGAAGGCAGGTCAAAGGAAGAGACTTTAATGAATTTAACTCCCAACCTGTTAATAAAAGATTAGTGATATTTTTGTGATGAAGTAGCCAAACAGAAGAAGCAGAAAAAGGTCTGGTTTTAATATGAAGGCATATATCAACATATACTTAGGCAAAAACTTAGGATCTCTCAATGTTGAACTCCTGGGCAGAATTTCTTTCAAAATGAAAAACAATGGAATATGACAAAACCATATGTTTCAGGAAGGCAATGTCCATATATATATAACATAGGTAACTTAAAATTTTATTTTTAAACTGCTAGTTTGTAAACTCAATGGGTAACAAAAACAGCTCACAAGCAAATCAGTTTAGAAAGAAGGCTGGTCAAAAAGCTAATGGGTTAGAAATATGGATACAAGATGTTTTCAGGTCACTACTTGGTCACAGATTTCTTATTTGCTGTAAACTAACCAGTAATTCCTAATGTCTTTGAAGATATTCAGACACCTTTCAGTACCAGTGGAAGATGTATCCAACTACTTTTCAAGATCTGATCCTTAATTTCTTTTCACCTTCTTTCACATGCATGCAAAACAGAAACCACCTGATTTCATAGGAAACTTGTGAGGCTATCTAAACAACGAACTGTTTCCTATTTATACGCTTCAGTGGAAAGGTATGTAGTGTACTCAAGACAAATGCCTGTTCTTCAGGCTGTTAGATCATCTGCTTCTAAAAGGAAGAAACAGATACAGAGTTGGTTTGTATGCTGCAGTGAAGTGGCTGAGCTTTACTGGACAGAAAGAAAATTATTCCACTCAACTGTTAAAACACCTGCTAGGTACAATATGTAGGACTAAGAAAATTCAGCGGGAAAAAAAATTGTCATGACAGGAACAAGCTTTTTTTCTATGGAAAATAAACTAATGAAACCTGCTTTCTTACAGATTTATGACCACTTTCTGTAAAACCACCTGTTTCCTACTCAAGTTCTCAGTGATGTCTCCACTGAAAAACAGTGGATAGTGCTGCTAATGCAATCATAATAGATGTTTTTCTATTTACTGTAAATAATAAATAGCTAGAGATTAACATGGTAACACACAATCAACTTCCAGTTCCTTCAAATATAGTTGTAATTATTTAGAAGGTTTGAAAACTGGGAGTTTATTTCATTTATAAGAATAGTATACAATATTTACCATACCTACAATAAACTACACATAGTATTTACCTGCATGGAAATCTATGCCCACAGCAAATGAAGTTCCAGATATTGGCATTAAGGCATCCATTTTATCACTTGGATCAAGAGGAATTCCTCTAATTCCTTCATGAACAGAATACATAAGAAATGATTCAATACCTATGGGAAAAATAAATAGTCAATGAGAGCAAAGTGGCGACTTTCCCAATTAACAAGACGTGAGGAATTAACAAGCAGTAGACATAGTTTTCCAGTACTGCTCCACAGTCTTCCAGAATGATAACTCCATCTCTTTGAAAAAACATCCACGAATTATTGTGGTGTATTTCTAATGAAATGATTTATAAAGAGACAGGAATCATTGTCCATTTCAAGCATCACCTTGTAATTAAGTAATTAGCAGTAATGAAAATTAAAACTTAAGAAGAAAGTGTTATTGAATTATGAGAAATTTAAGAATTTTTTCAGTGCACATCTGTACTTTCCGTACATATTCAGCAAGAGATAATTTTAAAGAACTTGTGGAAAGCAGGACACAAGACTGTAAATTCTCTTTTGAGGCAGGGATCCATCTCACCTCATTTAAGCACACTTCCTTTACAGACAATAGAGAGAAATACATAGTTTTAGTGAATAATGCAGTCGCATTTTAAATGCCTACTTTCATGCTAGATTAATCATGCTCCAGATGCATCTATTTCTATTAAATAAGAAGAAATTCTACTGTGTAGAGGTCTTGTTATGCAGTCATTCCCAGCTGAGACGAATCACACCTAACTGTTGACAACAAAAATCAGAACAAATACTTTGTTGCCCTAATCTGTTCATATATCAAAACACTTCAAAGTTCAGGGGAAATCAGTGTGACAATACATAACTCATATTACTGAAGAATTTTAACTACTATACACAAAAAAGTTTCTTTTTCTTCACACTAATTCTTTCAGAATTTCTTTCCTTGTAAAGACCTAGCTAGTAGAAGACCCTAAGAATGTGGACTGAAAAGTTTCAGGTAGAGAACTACAACATTTTCTTCAAAGAAAGAAGAAATCAGCTAGCAAATGAAAAGAGCAATGTTAAACAAGTATATATGTACAGAATAGTACTTGTCAGGTTTTGTCTATGAATTTTCAAGACAGAATAAAAATGCTATTGCCTCATGACATCTTTTTAATTGAAGGAAAATTTAATCATAAAAAGCTGTTATGATCTAGAAAGCAGTATATCTAGACATAAAGGAGGAATACACTTAAAATACACAGCATCTACCAGTTTTACCTTAACTCACCACTGAAAGTTACAAATATCTGAAGAAGTAATTGTAAAGGTAAAACCAACTGTTTTAAAAAGTAATAAAAAATGTTAAGAACATGTTATTGAAACATATGAAAAGCCCTGAAGAAGTAGAAAAGCCACATTTATGTTGCTTAATTCTGCCTCCATGTATACTCAGCTATTAACTAGATGAGGTAGCAATCCCTTATAGGAATAAATAAATTTATACAACTACAAGGCACCTTGACCATTAGGCTGTTATGTATTATTCAGGCAAAAAGTAAGACTTTGGATGCAAGCTATGTTTTGGGTTTTTCCTGCTCAAATAGATAAAAGATTTAAAAAAAAAAAAATCAAGCCTTACTTTATATTAAGGGCAATACAATAGGATGAGATACCCAACCTTTCAGATACTGTAGCCTATAATACAGTTTAAAGAGAAGGTATATGACCTTGAACAAATATGTACTGCCATTAACGATGGCTCAGATAGTCTTTCATGTCTAGATTTAAAAAAAAAAAAAGAAAAAAGAAAAAGAAAACGACATTCCTCAGAGTTTCCACGAAAATCTATGCAGAGCTAAATAAAGAAATTAAAAGCTAAATTTAAATTCTGTCCTAACCACAACAGACATTTCTCTGTTACTGCTTTAATCAAGTATATTAAGTATAGTTATTTAACTTAAAATTAATAAAGTTTATTTACTCATTACAGTGTTTCCATAAAACTGAAGTTAGTTAAAATAAATACTGAAATCCATTTTACCTTTGCAAGCCATGCGGTTTTTTTGAAGGTTGTAGCCAACTGTACACACACAAGTCCTGGTGGTTTCTGATGTTGGTAAACAAAGCTGGGAGCATCCACCATTGTTTAACTGACAGGAATTGCTACCTATAACATGATGGGAGAAGAAAACAAGAGGAAAAAGAATTTGAACAGTGCAATCCTGACTAAAATGAGTGTTGGTATCAATTCATTAATATTACCAAACCATAATTTTGTTCAGCTAACTTCTTGGAAAAGTTGAGATATTCATAAAATATTTCAGGCTACGCTACTATTCATATACTCTTCCATGCTTCACTCTTACAGCATTTTATTTGTGCGCTTAGAATAGTGGTTTTTTCCCTCAGAGTATTTTTTTAGCAAAACAGTTTTCTGAAGAAGAATCTGCCTATTTTAAAAGTAAAAGCATATGATAAAACTGAAAATACTACATTAAGTTTGGAGTAGCAATGATGAAATCCCAATGACATTAGTCTAGAAGGTGTATCTTATCCTAGACAATGAGAAATCATTGATCATATTGTATTCATTCATCAAATGTTATATTAACCTCGTTATGTCCACGAACCAGCATTTGTTTAGTATATTTAAGATACACTCCAATGTGATCTCACAGATCCATGCTCCTACTTCTTAATTAAAACAATATTTACTTTCAAGTAATAGATGAACAATTTTTAATAAGATTTATAATAAACACTATACACAGTACAATAAACATATATAAAAAATTTGAAGCTTCATAAAGAAACATTTAAGTCTACTAAGACATTCAAGGAATTAGTTGATTACAAGTTACCAAGGTTATATGAATCAGAGTGCTACTTGTCACATTTATTTTTGCATTCCTAATTTTGAAGTAGAAAGCATCTCAAATAACAGATATTTTCTAATGATCCAACCATACAAATGGAAAAGACAGGTGAGGTTTCAAAGTTTCAGGTATCCTCAAAGGGACAAATTGTACAATAAAAAAAAATTTAGGATGTCAGATTTGTACACAGAGAAATCTGTAAGTGCCCTCAAATCACTTTGGTCTCATGTCACTTTGATTTAATGAAATGCAAGACATATACGAAATATACAAATATTCTTTTTAAAAAAGTGCAAGTGTAAAGTTGAATGCCATCTACAGTCTTTGATTCTTATATCCAAAACCCTGACATTGCTCTCTGTCAAAATATAGATCAGCAAGATGACATTTCACTACACAGTGAAATTACAGTTCAGTAGTACAAAAAGTACTGTTCCTTTTCTTGATTTTTGTACAACAGAAGATGCATATTAATGCCACAGACACCAGATATTGCTAACATTTGGGCTCTCGTGAGGCTATCTGTATGTCTCCACAGTAGGGAATTCAAGCATTTTAGAAATGATAGAAACATTAGTGAATGCCTAAACTTTTATTACTTACTGTTCCACCACATTTAAAACTAAGGGCCAGGCTGGTGAAGCACCTTTGGTGTTTCCTAGAATAGGTAAAATGCCAAGTGTTCCCAGAAGTGCCTAATATGAAATTGGATTACTGTACTCCGTACGTAGACTAATTGTAGTAAACCATCCTGTGTTCTTTCGGAAGCTTCTCCGCAATAGGAATTAATTTGTTTCATGTAGATCCCATCCTCATCCTTTTCAGCAGCTGGAATCAGAAATAATCTCTTTCCAAAGAATCTCCCAAGTGTTTTCATCTCTGATCTTCAATTTCATAAAACTGTGTGCACGACCCCAAATTACACTTTTTCATATTATCTTAGCCTCAATTTTGCCAACTAAGTTTTGGCAGTATTAGCAATATTCTCCCATTTTTCTGCTGTGTCACTTTTGATTTATACTACTGTCATTTCTGTCAATTTAGATGAATTAAACTGTCTTAAAACAAATAGACAATGAAGAATACTAATGAATTCTCTCATAATACGTCACTTAAAATTTCAATAATTTGAGATGACATTCACACAGTAACTGATTTTTTGACTAAAAATTTTAAACAGATTCTCTAAAGGAACTTCAAACTTCACTACAGTGTAAACTTCAGAAAACATCTGATAAATTAAAATATAACAGGCAGATATGTTAAATCAATTATCTCATTATATCCAGTAATTTATTCAATAATAAAACATTTTATAATATTTTATCACTGAATTACAATGAAATACATATTATTTTGTTCTAGCCACATTTGGAGAATAACATGGGAAAAGATACTATGACGTCTACAAGTTGGTTAAACATGCTTAAAATTTAACATACCTTGCTGTGCTGCTTTATCATACACTTTCATATGTACAACACCTGAAGTTTTGTTTCGCAGGACAGTCGGGTTTCTTCCATCTTTTTTGTTACAGGTACCGATCTGAGCTAAGTTCTGGTCTGCCCACCAAAGCTTTTTATCTGTAAAATTTTCAAGTTTTAAAAATTATGAAGATCATTGTCAAATTATATGTGTTTGAAACCTAAGGTGGGAAAAAGCTTTTGAGCTTAATTCTCAGATCAATTTTAAGGAAAATTCTCAAAGAATAAATAAGTTAGATTTTTTTATTTTAAAAACATAAATTTTGGATTTATAAATTTATTTTTTTCCTCTTTAGCTGATAGGTTTTCATATTTTTTAAGTGGAAAAACTGTATTATGCCCAATTTATAACCGACAGTTACAAAACCTTATTCACAGATCATGTACTAGTATAACACAGGGTTTCTTCTCAAACTTTGCTACATCCATTCATTATGTACATAGAGATGACAGGAACTCTGGTTCCAGGTTCTCATTACCTCGAGTGTTCAAATTAAGAAGTATGACAATTACCATAAAAATAAAAAAATCTTGTTACTGTCTTAAAGAAATTACTGAAATTATCAACTTACATTGATAGTAACTTTTTCATCATAATTTACACGAAATTTTAAATTAACAGAAAAAATGAGACATGCTATGCTTCTACTAGCATAAAACTTTAAACCATCCTTTTCAATCCACACATGCAGAATACTTGAATCATAATATGAAGGACTTATCAAAACTTTATGACAGAATTTTCACTTGAAGCGCAACTGCAGTACATGCAACATATTTTTCAAGGGCTGGATTTCAGGTGACTTTAGTCATAAAGATTTCACTTAAACTCAGACAGGATTCTTAGTGACATAAGGACAGAAACACTAAGTTTGATCATATTGCTGTGGCCGTATTGGTTACTGTGGAATGTAAATTTTCATTAAAAAAGAAAATAAGATACAAACGTCAGTATTAATGTAAAGATAATCTTCATAACAATTTAAACAACATTGTATGAAGACAATCAATTTAAAAGAAATTTCAATAAACTGAAAGGTATACATGAGAAGCATATTCTCTACTTCATTTCACTTACATCATTTCAGGAAAATGTTGTTTTTGAAGCCCCATTAACATAATTTCAATATCAACATTAGAGATTGCTTTAGTTTTGTTCAGAAATACACAATACTCATCAGTGTTATCAGTTTGCCATTTTGAGACTTTGACGCATTACCTGCTGGAGTTAATGAAAGAGCCTCCTCAGTTAAAGAGTTTGCTAGTCTGTCATTCATCTAATGAAAGCTAGTAAGATACCTCAGTGTCAGTGGTTTATAATTTCTTTAAGGTAACAATCTTTACTACTTTTCCTCAAATCAGTATTGGGGTGGTAATCCTACCAAGTTTTGAATATTTCATGCCATCACTTGATATTGTACAAATGGACCATAAAATAAGTCACAACCACTGCAAAGCGAAAAGAAAAAAGCAAAGACGACCTATCAGGAAACACAGTAAGAGGAAATAATACAAAAAGAAGAAAATAATATGAAATATACACTTTTGAAAACCTTCCCAGCAGCTCTCAGAAAAAATTTATTCCCTACTGCTAAGGCTTGGAAAACAGAATAGGTTAAAACGAGGAGAAATCAGAAGGACACTAGAAATGCCCTTCACTCTCTTGGTATTTCTTTATACCCCTACACATATGAAAGGCCACAGTTATTAGCTTTACTGTAGCTCTGAAGGATGACATCAAGATCATAGAACTGCTTTCTACAACAGCTACATCCTGTCAGTGTTTCAATGAAGATGCTGGGGTGACAATGGAAGAGCTCTATAGTATGGCACCACTACTCATAATGGTCATACTGTCAGGGCCTACAGTTAAGTGTCATAAATCTGGAGTGCACAAGGACTGTTCATCCTTGTATTGCACCTGAGACTATCACAACTTGAGAATCAGGGTACTGAAATCAGCCATGTCATGCTTTTGTGACCTGCCATACGCCAAGAGAGAAAAAAACCAACCTTTAAATTTCACATCTGCAGGCACTAGCATCGCACCCTCAAGGTGAAATCATTTGTTTAATCAAACTAACATATTCTACATAAACATCTTCCATGAGGTACATGGCGATGGTTCGGTTTAGAGGAAACTAAAGAATGCACTGAAATTGCAAAAGCGCATTTCTGAAAGGCAAGCAAAATTTTGTCAGATCCAAAAGAATAATAAACATAGTAATGATGCTTACTGTCCAATTTTAAGACTAAACACCTGAGAACTTAAATTGGCTTCCAAAACAAGGACTTGGTTAACTCATAGCGACTGGTGTTCACAGTGAAGAGCTCCTTACCTAACCAATGCCAAGTCCTTCAGCTGTTTCCCTTATAACATAATATTTTCATTTTTATCATAATTAATTTCATCCAGCTTGTTCCCATTATTCATCAATCTCAATGGCTGCCGCAAGCAAAGCAAATCAGTCCTTTCCTGTCTGGGTGAGACTGAAACACAGAGCATACCGAACATACAGAAAACACTTAGTCAATCCTAACTCTTAATGTCATCCTTCAGTCATTGCATAAAACCATTATTTCAGTGAAGAGCTTCCTGATGTTTCTAAGCTGTAGATAAACAAATCCAATGCAAAGCATGGCCAGCTATTTCTATGAAATGTAACAGGAACAACAACGTCCTGTATTCTACTTTTCACAGTAAAGATATCAGATACTTCTAGTTCTTGATAACTTCTTAAAACTGTAGGAAAAATCAATGCACAGAGCTAACACCACCTTTGTCAAAATACAGATTGCCTTTTGAAGTGAAACCAAGAACACGCATATGCCGTGCTTCCTTGATAAACTCAAAAGCCATCCCATACAAAATCTTGACTGAGCCCCAGTATACTGCAAAATAGTGGAATGATTGACTGGTTGAATCCCTTCAGTTTGATGGCAGCCAGATGGCCATGGAGCACATGTGCTGGCCAGCATATGACTTCATGGGTAGCTCCAGAGTGGCAACAGCTTGTGCTTTGTTTTGACATAGAGAAGATGGGGACTGGAGTGGAGAGAAAAAAAGGGAGAAATTTAAGAAATACATGAGGAAAACAGGGTATTGTGATTGTAAATTGTGGAACTGTGAATGGGGGAAGGCTCTACAAGTGCTTGCAGTAGACATCTGTTGTGCAGAACAGCAGGAGAGAAACTGGGATGAGGTCTTAGGATGAAAGATGTGGGTTACTGCACTGGAGGTACTACGGAGAGAAGGTTATAGAGAGAAGCTGAAGGTACTCTGTTATTAAGATTCAGGAGACAATAAAGCAGTCTTCATCAGTTCCACTTTTGCTGCAACAATTCCTATTTTGAGCCTACTTCCATAGAAAATCCTAAATTAAAATGTCTAGTTATATACAGAAATTCTACTGACTTTAGGGAAGAAATTAATTTTCACAAGTGAATAAAATTGCCTGTAATGCTAAAACACTTTTTTCATTAAAACCAAATTACAATCAATAACTAAAAAATCATGAAAAAAAAAAGCAAAGCAGGCTCTACCTGCTAATGCATCAGAATATAAACAGCTTTGATATCAAACCCAAACTATGGCCAAACACTGACACAGAAACTATAGCCAATCTTCTGATTTCAAGTCCTTAACGCATTAGTCCTAACGCACTATCTCTAGCATACACCCAGATGTCTGATGCTCCAGGTTCCAGTGTTCCAGGTTGACAAGTTCCACAGTCCATAATATGTTTCACAGGGTCTGTTTCTCATTTTCTTTGAATGCCAAAACACCCTACCTGAGTCCTTACTCCCTTCACAGGACTTAAACAGTATGATGGCCTCCTTCCAGCTCCTTGTGGGTTTGCCAGCAAACTGAAGGGATTCAACTAGTCAATCATTCCACTATTTTGCAGTATACTGGGGCTCAGTCAGTTTCTCTTGACTTAGTCAAATCATTCACCTTAGTGACTGGTTAACACTCTGTAGCTCACCATTTCAGAAAAGAAGTTATGGATTTTTATGTTATGAATTTAAAATTATACTTCTGTGGATCCACAACCTAGATTTTTTCTATATTCCTATACTATAAAGAAATTTAAGCTATTTTTTTAGTAAAATTTAATCAATCAAATAAAATGTAGCTCCGGTACTAGCCTTCTAGGAAGTTTCAGTAAAGAAACAAGGTTTCATTGGCCCACCTCTGTCATATTCTCTGAGTTAACAAAATGGTATAAACACAAGTGCAAGCAACTCCCCCCTGCTCTCAGCCTTTTGGAAATGTAACTATTGTAAACAAACTGAACTAACATTTTAATACCATATTACCTCAAGACCTAGATTTGATCAACAGTCTCAAGGGCAACACAATGTAGATGTTAAATTTAATCATGAAAGGGAAAGCAACAAAAAAATGAAAAGAAATCATAGCAGCAGTTTGGATTCAACTTTATTTTCAGTTTGTCACGTGTATTTTTAAACGGGAACAATGCAAATGGCAGTATATGGACAGTACAACATGCTTAGGTTACTAACAAACTACTGCTTTGCAGTGAGTTAACATTTCACTCATGACTACATTTAAAGTATTAATTGCTGTGAAATACAATCTTACAGCAATTTTCTGTATGACAAAAAAAAGTAAGAACATTTTTTTCTCCAAATAGTTATGTACCTTTTAAATATCTTAAATGAAATAACTAAATAGAGCAAGTCTGTATAATTGCAAGTTTAATATCATCAGCATTTTAATTTTAGACAGAAAAAGCTGCTACTGTAGAAGAACCAAAAGTAAAACCCTACACTGAAAAAACTTTTAAACTTCAGGAACACTGTCTTTCCAACAAATATTGTTTATTAACTTCATTTTTAGTTCATTTTCTTTTCAGTTAAATGAATTGTTGCCTATACTGCAGTTTTAATAGTTAAATAACTAATTTATAGAGCCAGACAATTGAGTGTTTCATGATGGAAATTGCAGATGTGAAAAATAATTTCCATTGCAGGAACTGTAAAAAGTTACTGCACAAAAGAAAATAAACTCTGAAAATATCAAGGAAAAAAAGCATTTACTAAGTAGTCTTCACAGGTATATAACGAGACAACAA